AACATTAGGACCCTAAGTGCAAGAAAATCCATTTCAAACAAAAGTAGAAGATGTTACCTAGCTGGGTAATGAAATGTTTGCAAGAAAAGAACCAAGCTCAGAGAACCCCAAGGACTCCTCACTTTTCTTTTGCTGCCAAATGAGCTTTACTGAATAACTTATGAATTGCTCCTTGAGGCAGATCTGCAGAAATCACTGACATTATTATCTTCTTTGAATTTCATTCCAAAGATCCCGCTTGTCAAGATAAGTGTAGGATATGATTCTGCATTGTACATCTTAAAAATCTCAAAAATAGGCCTGGTCTTCTGTACTGAATTGAAACAGAAGCCCATATCATAAGCAATTTCAATTTCTGGCCTTTATTCTGTTTGTGGTTTAAAAAAGTATAAATTTATCTGTAAACTATAGATGCTCAATACCGTAATGCATGATTAAAAATCATAAATTATTTGTATGTATTCATTAAACAGGTCACTTCATCAAGGTCCTTGCTTACTTTCAACACTGTCTTAACATTCATGGCACACTGTTTATCAGGATTTTGAAGGTAAGTGATTCTTATTCCATGTGAAGAGTACTAAGGTTTTTAACTGTTCAACATAAAATTTCTGCTTCATTTCCAAAAATTTCAGTTTCATTCCATTCACTGCAGTTTTTAACTTAAATTCAGTCATTCTAAAAGAATGTAAGTCATGAGGGAAAGCATTTAAAGTAATATGCAACTCTACATAACTTTTTTTCTTTGCTACTTTCCCTTGCGAGGTAGCAAAAGTTGCAGTTTTTTCAGATAAGGAGTAGAGTAATGCTTGCTTTCTCTGTCTTCTCAGCTTTAATTTATCACCACAAAAAGGAAGAGAGAATGAGTTTTCTGTTTACCACTTAAGTAATGAAGTAATCAAAGATGAGGCAAGAGACCCTTAACCACTCAGATTACTGTGTTTGGAAATTCAATGTGTCACAGTACCAACCGACAGGCTGCAAAGCACCCCTTTAAATGCTTTGCAATATCTGAATATATTGTTCTTCAATGAGATAGAATGTAATGATGTTCATGTTATATAATATACATGGAAAATATAATGTATTCATGAATATGAATACACTAATAATAAAATATGATGTTCATGTTATATAGTATATATGTAGAAATAAAACAATGGATATTCAAAGGTCAACTGAAGCAAAATACGTTTGCTTGTCTGAAAAAAGCCAGGAACAAGGCTAATTTCCTGCAAAAAAAAAAAAAAAGATTTCCCAACACAGGGAAACTATAAAACATACTGGAAGAAGAGAGAATCATTGTAAAGCAAGAAGCAGCCGAAACACTGCCTAACTGAGGAGGGCTAAAACACTATTGGGAGGAAGACACTGTGGAGTCTAGAATTGGGAAAGGCTGTGGCTTTACCTGTTACACAGCAAGTACTGCTGATGATGATCCTGAGCTATTCTGAAACAAAGGCTAGAAATGATCTGCCTGTGTTGAACGTGGAACCCTAGGAGGGTTTCAGATGGACAGCTCCTTGTGTTTTAGTTAAAAGCTTACAACATTCTTTCCTCAACCAATGGACAAACAAAAAAGTGTGAAGATATGGGATTGTTACCAATGGTTTTCTTTGCCCACACCACCCTAAAATGCCATATTTGAGACGAGGTGATTTACATAGGGAATGTCTTTCTAAAAGCACACTTAATTATGATCTTCGGCTTCATCTGACTGTAGTTCAAGTAAGACAGTAAGACATCCTTCCCCAGTTGGATGACTGGGTCTTCCAGGCATGTGGATGTCAACTCCCAGAATTCTCAGCAAGGGACGTACTGGCTAGGAACTTGACATCCAGTCATGTGGAAGGTGCCCAGGTGGGGGAAAGCAAATATATGTGAAGAGTGTAGTAGAGGTGAACTACAGGAGGAGGCTCTTTTGCTTGACAGGTCTTGGGGATAGCCAAAAAGCATTAATAGACATTGATGTAACCACCTATGAGCAATCTGAAGCACTGGGGTGGCTGTACATTCTGGAATAACCAGATATGCTGACTGGCTTCATGTCTCATTATTCGCCACAAGTGACGGGTGAGTCTTACATGACAAGACAGCCTTTTAGACTATGTTGTACCTCAATGTTTGTTTAAGTTAGAACTGTATAAAATCTTTCAGAGAACAGGTTTGAGTACATTCACACAATATACTCGTTGTCTGCACGGCCACTATAGATAATTCACATCAAAGTTCTCCAAATTGCAGTTTTGTTTTGGTTGCCACTGAAGCTCCAGCAAACCTGTAAGTCATGGCGTCTCTGGCCATAAAAAGTCTCTGATGGCTCTGACTGAGGAAGCTGATCCATGCATATCATACATGCAATCACAGAATGGCAGGAAGTAGTTCTTACTGGCACTGAGATTATACAAACTGTTGTTGCCACTTTTCAAACGGGGTTCAAATACACATGCTCCCTTGCACGTATACTAGGGATTATTAGTAGCAGTTCTACAGATTGTGCCAATAGGCTCTTAACAGACGTTGGCAGAGAAAGCAATTGTTTCATGCTGTTATCTGTACTATATGGAAGTAACGTTAAACCAATCCACAATTTGTTGGCCCTCTTACAGTGTCAGATAGGAATGAGTCACTGCTGAAGACTGATAAAATCATTACAGACAGTCCCCTACTTATGAAAAGGTTATGTTCCAAGAGGCTGTTTGTAAGTCTGTTTTGTTCATGCCCGACCAAGTAAAAAGTACTGTCAAAAGTAAAAAAAAAAAAAAAAAAAAGAAAGAGGAGGCCGGAGGCAGGGCAGCAGTGTGGGCAGAGAGG